TGAACCCGATGTGATGAGACTCGCTCCTGCACCGCTGTACAACAGCTTCACGGACGTGTATCGTTTTGTTACCATATTAGGAGAAGCTTTTGATCTGCTGAACACGGAGGTCGCATAGCAGTGTTGTTTGAACTCTTCACCCACGCGATGATATTAGAGATCCTTAGATTCTTAGACGATGACGTCTACGAGGACTACAAAGTATTGCTCGCGCGTTAACCAGTGTCATTTTGGCGGAAAAACGTGATAGTCGTTGTCGATAACGTAAACGGTCTTTGTCATCAGGGAGCTTAAGCATCGATGACGGCGACGTTAACGAGAACGGCAAAAAAAACAAAAAAAAAAACAATTGGTTTGATTGGCAAAACAACAACACTGCACGTGCAAGAGATGGAATAAGCGTGATAAAGTTTGAAGAGCGCGACTTCGCTTTTTAAGTGACGTTTTCGTACCCGTCGTCTTCGTCGTTGCTTAAGCTCCCTAATAAACGCTTCAGTGCGTCGCCAATTTGTTGATGAAGATGATGTGAACTGCGGAAATACATAGCATAGTTGGTCTGCACTTTGTATATGGGTCTTCATAGCTCAGTTGGTAGAGCACTGCAGCACTTCGCGGAGGCCATGGGTTCGAATCCCGTTGAAATCCCGAATTTTTCCTGGGTTTAATTTGCAGTTGCGTAAATTGCAATTACCACTGTGACGATCATATCTTCATAAAAATTTATATTTCTGTGGTTCACATCATCTTCATTCTGTTTCATTTCTTTCACGGGTTAAGATGAACTCATCAAATTGGCCTGCTCCCAATGTATGTGTCTTTATAGCTCAGTTGGTAGAGCACTGCAGCGTAACGCAGATGCCATGAATTCGAATCCCGTTGAAGTTCCGAAATTTTATTTTCGGGTTAATTTGCAATTGCTTAAATTACAGTTACCACTGCGACGATCATATCTTCATTTAAATTTGTATTTCCGCAGTTGACATCATCTTCAATTAGAGAACTCTCGTTGGGACGGCGAAAGCCGCTTAATAGAGGTCTAAGTTCCCATTCTTTTCTACAATTATTTCGGGACCAGAGAGATTGAGCTCATTCTCGATCATTCTCGATCATTCTCTCTTGTTCGGGACTGACTACTGGCCGCGCTTAGTAGAGGGTTGCTGCTTAATCGAGGTTCAACTGTTCAATGAAGCTTTTCGGGGTGTCTATTTTTTGAGCGGAATACGCGAAAAAAAAACTTTGCGTCAGATCTCGTCTCCGAATCTTAAGGTCTCTAATACCGTAGTGTATATAGTGTGAACCAATCTTATAAAAATGAAGTGTGTATAAGCAAACTACTAGTAATTCCTTACCGTATTTACTCGAATAGACGCCGTGGCGTTTATTTCATTTTTCGCGATCCAGCTGCGNCGCTCCTGCACCGCTGTACAACAGCTTCACGGACGTGTATCGTTTTGTTACCATATTAGGAGAAGCTTTTGATCTGCTGAACACGGAGGTCGCATAGCAGTGTTGTTTGAACTCTTCACCCACGCGATGATATTAGAGATCCTTAGATTCTTAGACGATGACGTCTACGAGGACTACAAAGTATTGCTCGCGCGTTAACCAGTGTCATTTTGGCGGAAAAACGTGATAGTCGTTGTCGATAACGTAAACGGTCTTTGTCATCAGGGAGCTTAAGCATCGATGACGGCGACGTTAACGAGAACGGCAAAAAAAACAAAAAAAAAAACAATTGGTTTGATTGGCAAAACAACAACACTGCACGTGCAAGAGATGGAATAAGCGTGATAAAGTTTGAAGAGCGCGACTTCGCTTTTTAAGTGACGTTTTCGTACCCGTCGTCTTCGTCGTTGCTTAAGCTCCCTAATAAACGCTTCAGTGCGTCGCCAATTTGTTGATGAAGATGATGTGAACTGCGGAAATACATAGCATAGTTGGTCTGCACTTTGTATATGGGTCTTCATAGCTCAGTTGGTAGAGCACTGCAGCACTTCGCGGAGGCCATGGGTTCGAATCCCGTTGAAATCCCGAATTTTTCCTGGGTTTAATTTGCAGTTGCGTAAATTGCAATTACCACTGTGACGATCATATCTTCATAAAAATTTATATTTCTGTGGTTCACATCATCTTCATTCTGTTTCATTTCTTTCACGGGTTAAGATGAACTCATCAAATTGGCCTGCTCCCAATGTATGTGTCTTTATAGCTCAGTTGGTAGAGCACTGCAGCGTAACGCAGATGCCATGAATTCGAATCCCGTTGAAGTTCCGAAATTTTATTTTCGGGTTAATTTGCAATTGCTTAAATTACAGTTACCACTGCGACGATCATATCTTCATTTAAATTTGTATTTCCGCAGTTGACATCATCTTCAATTAGAGAACTCTCGTTGGGACGGCGAAAGCCGCTTAATAGAGGTCTAAGTTCCCATTCTTTTCTACAATTATTTCGGGACCAGAGAGATTGAGCTCATTCTCGATCATTCTCGATCATTCTCTCTTGTTCGGGACTGACTACTGGCCGCGCTTAGTAGAGGGTTGCTGCTTAATCGAGGTTCAACTGTTCAATGAAGCTTTTCGGGGTGTCTATTTTTTGAGCGGAATACGCGAAAAAAAAACTTTGCGTCAGATCTCGTCTCCGAATCTTAAGGTCTCTAATACCGTAGTGTATATAGTGTGAACCAATCTTATAAAAATGAAGTGTGTATAAGCAAACTACTAGTAATTCCTTACCGTATTTACTCGAATAGACGCCGTGGCGTTTATTTCATTTTTCGCGATCCAGCTGCGGCGTTTATTCGAGGGCGGCGTCTATTCGGGGGCGGCGTTTATTCAAAAATCACTTTATTCAGTATTAAATATCGTACCACATATGGTAACTTTTTTACTAGGTAACAGTAACAAATCTCAATATGTAATGTTGTTTATTTTGTCTATTCAATTGTGATTTTTACATAAAGTTAAACTTCTATTTCAACATCGCTGTCCTCCTCGTGGTCGCTGGTTTAAACTTGAAATAGACTTTTCTTTAATAATTATTATAAATCATTATTTCCTCAAATAAACGCCGCACCGTCTATTAATATTGTGAGTCTCAAGTTCGGCGTCTATTCGGGGGCGGCGTTTATTCTAAAATCACTTTATTCAGTATTAAATATCGTACCACATATGGTAACTTTTTTACTAGGTAACAGTAACAAATCTCAATATGTAATGTTGTTTATTTTGTCTATTCAATTGTGATTTTTACATAAAGTTAAACTTCTGTTTCAACATCGCTGTCCTCCTCATGGTCGCTGGTTTAAACTTGAAATAGACTTTTCTTTAATAATTATTATAAATCATTATTTCCTCAAATAAACGCCGCACCGTCTATTAATATTTTGAGTCTCAAGTGCGGCGTCTATTCGGGGGCGGCGTCTATTCGAGTAAATACAGTAAGTTACAATTCCTTTACAAAAGGCCAGAAATTGTCGCTTTGAGATGACCTTAAAGTACGTATAACTTATTTGTCTTGATACTGGTTCCCTGAACTGAAACTCTAAAACCAGTTGGGGAAAAAATAATCTTAATTTGAAGTTTAAAACTGAAAATTGTCTTTTAAAAGGAAATGGATTGTCTATTTTTTTTTTAAGTTAAATATTTATTTAGAGGTACCTTAGTTTTCATTAGTTTTCGTTATATATTTTTAGGTTGTAAGAGTGTATATGTTTTCGAATTCGAAAATTTTGTCTCTTTGTCTCAGTATTTATAAAAGGGGGATTGTAGTGCTCTTCAAGGGAGCTTTGAGTGCCAAGTAATGCAATAAAAAACTGGAATAAATTATGTTTGGCAATAAAAATTATTATTGCTCAAGCAGTTGTTTTACACTTTCTTTTAGTGAGTTCTTTGCGAACGTCGAAACGGATGAAAGCAAACGTTTGCAACAAGTTCACGCGGAAACGCTTGCTACGCAGATTTGTCCACATAAACTGGGTGAAATAAAAATAAGTTCTTTGAATTCACTATTTTTTGAATTTTTTGTCATACAAAGAAATTGAAAAGTTTAATGGGCCAAGACATAAAAAAAATGAGCGATACACGCTTACCATGCAGTTACAGTCAAAGCGGCCTTGCGAACACCCCGCTATAACGGACACCTCGACAAAACGGACGGCAACTAATTCCCCGGCGAAAACAAATTACAGACATTTGGCTGGAATAAACTCCCGCTATTACGGACTCTCGCTAATGAGGAACCTAACTCAAGGTCCCTACAGTGTCCGCTATAAAGGGAGTTGACTGTATTATGTTGAGCTCATATTTATTACCAAAGTTTTACATCAGGTTTTACAGGGGCACCCAACGATGGTTTCCTGTAAAATATCTGTTCGGATCGGAGAGGCAAATATTTAGCCTCGAATTTTCTATTCTTGAGGAGGGCTAAAAATTTCTAGAGTGATCATTCTATTCATGTACAATTTTCGAAGTTTATCTAATAAATTCCCTATCGATTTTCTGAGGTTTAGCTTTTCACATTTCACTCCCCAGGTTAGGCTATTTTTCGTAGAAAAAAAGAAACCTAAAATTTTTTGGATTCAAAAATGTGAAGGAAGGAGTCAGAAAAATGAAGCTCACTTTCGTCATACGTATAATTGCATCTAAAATTTTCGGGAGAATAATACTGAAGCCCTTTTAATTCCGGAAACACTCAAGTTGCCCTAGGATGACCGAATAGATACAAATTTTATAGCGCCGTTTAGAATTCATTACCAGAGATCCAAAAGTACGGATAGCCTAAAAAGTGTTTTCAATGCGCACGCATTTCAGAGGAAACTGTCGTTGGGTGCTCCTGGTTTTATTTTACCCGAATTATTCAAATGTGCATATGAGCTTTTGCTTTTGCTTTTGTTTTTATTATAATAAGAGATCCTTATTATTGTTTTTTTTAAATTTTGTTTTCAACGGGATTAACTTTATTTAAAGAACGAATTGCATGGCGGCTTACGGCTCCCGGTTTTAAACATCATCTTCCTTGATGGAGACTTTAATGAATCTGATTCCAACCTTGTCTGATTTGTCTTCTTGGTAGATTTCCAGAGTTAGTCCTTTGCTGATCATCAACCGGTTGCTATAAGCAGCAGTCGTTACAAAGCCTCCGTCATGCGCAGTATAGCACGCACCCCAGCGTTCATTCAACTTGATAGTGAACAAGAACTGACCGGGATAGAAATTTTGGCTGGGTTTTGTTGTGTACGGGCCAACCTTTTTGGAGGAAATAGTTGTACCAGAAAGCCCTTCCATCTTATAGCAGGGAGCGTTAGTGCCGTAATTGCCCTTATCGCAAGTATCAAACCCGATAAATCTGGTACCGTCTGACACACCAAAGCTGATGTCGCTATCAACCGTCGTTCCTATGGTGAAGTCATTTGCCACAGTGATTTCGACAGTCAGTGGTGTGTTAATTTTGAAGAAACCAGCGGGGATCAAAGGAACTTTGAGAAGAGCTGCATCACTTGAGCCACCTCCATTTAATGTAAGCTGCTCCAGCTGCTCCAAGGAATAATTAATGAAGAACTGCCAAACAATTTTTCATTGAAAATTGCCGGATTCTTTCTAACTTCATTTTTAAAACTCTTTTAGTTGAAATGAAAATATTTTGCACTGTATTTCCATCTCAATTCGTTCTTTATTCATGTCTTTGTATCTCCTATAAAGTTTAATTTTCCTAAAAACCCCATAACATTGTGGCCAAAATCTCAAAATGCACTAATTAACTCAAATGCCATTTCCACAAAATGGACAAATTCTATTTTATAGTACTGTTGGTAATAGTGATTTCGATAAACCGGCCGAATCACATGTTATAGACAATGTTCCACTTTCTTTGGTGCATCGCTATCGAGGTGAATCCACGTACAATCACGCAATTTGGTTCTTTGTTAAAATGAAAATAACTGAAAACATTGCAAGCAGGTCTTTCGGACATTTATGAATTTTGAACAATCTTGCTAAAAAAAAGTAGCTCAGTGTCATTTTTAAGAAAATGCTTAGCAAAAAAACCTGTTTCTAGTTTTTGAAAACTCTCAAAACTACCGAAGAAATTGGAGTTGATAAAACGGCCCATAACATTAACGATCTAAAACTAGAAATATCACTGGATTTTATTGACTTGCTGAACAGAATGACCAACTAAGGCCAAGAGCCAGAAGAATTCCACTGAAGTTAATGAAAGAGAACTTTGACTGCATGCTTTTCTGGCGCTTGTATACTTCAGGAGGAGTCAACAGCAAAACGCCATGCAACACAGCTAGATAGCAATGGATGAAGGGGCGAAGTCGCTGTTAGCTTTATTATTCAAGAAAGAGATATTGCATTTACACAGTTCTCAAGTGTACATATCTTGATGATATGATCAACTGCACGTACACAGCAGTTACATTAACATTATTTTAATGGGCTAGAAAAGTATCATTGACTCCTAATGATAATTTTTTCCTTATCAGTTTTTTCAAAAGTCGTGATTTAGCTTACGGAATTCTTAGGAGTTTTAGTCCTTATGAATTGGTCAGAAAATTGATTAAAATATCAAACAACAACAACAACAACAACCGCTTTAAACTGTACAAGGTAAAGAAAAAGAAGCACACAGGCTTAACTCGTACCTAGATCTCTTGTTTACGAAGCCGAAGGCGAGATTGGTCAAGTGAGTAAATTCAATTTTCAATCAAAGCGACAATTGCACCGCGTTACATGCTATACCAGCTAGGGTTGGTAACGAAGACGAAAAAAATATGATACTCCCATTCCGAGGGAATTGTTCTCAGACTGAAATTTCAACAGATTTCTCAACAAATTAAAGAAAGATGATCATCAACTTAACATAATTCCCGACCAAGTCGGGTTTGTCACCTTTAATTCTAAGCCTTTCCTCTACATTTCACTCACAATCAATTTAGTGCTAATTAAATATACTAGAGCCACTTTCTATTATCAGTTATTTTACAACTTTAGTTCGGTTGGGGTAGAAAGAAAAAATGTAAAATGTAAGGATAGAAATATGGAATTTATATATCTGGCACAAACGTAGACTGGCAATTACCACTCGTCTGTCAGTCAGTAATATTTTAAGTTCATCAACTCGATCCAACAACCTCAATCTTTTGGAGCTGAAACAGAGTGCATTTGTTTTACGCCAAAGACAGGTATCGACGATGTGATTCCACCCATGTCGGTTTTTTTTTTTCTGTCATCTTCCAATAAAGCTATATCGCAGGGCACTGTAAATTTGCGAGACTTTAATTTTGCGTACGGCCAAATAGCGGGACTTGATTATTGCGACTGTTAAAGATTTTCCTGATTGGAAATAACAGTGATTTTCAGCTGATAAAAATTTAATAAACACTGCGGCGTTTAATCGCGGATACCAATTTAATCTTGCACTCGCATTCTGATCTAAATATCAGAGACAAAAAATTAAGTGATAATACACACTTAGTGACCCATATTCCCACTCGCAATTTCATACTTAACCCTTTGGCGACCACCAACGAGTAGCGAGGAAAAACAGATTTTTCACCAATTCCTCTTTATGCTATTTAGCATGGAAATGGCTAAAATGAGTTTTGCAACAGTAAACTAGGCATTTTCTGACTAATGGGATGTAAATTAAGCAGGTTCTTTTTGCGAAATTGGCAGTGGATTTTTCACCAGAACTGTTACTTCTTTTTTTGTGTGCAACTCTGTCAGAATTTCCAAAACTAATTATCGATAGAGAGACGGTCTTTGCTGACGTTTCTGCGTCAGTACCAACTAGGAAGGAAAATATGCATGTTCCATATGGAACGAAAACGACCCAAGAAGTCGTCAAAGGGTTAATTTATCCATGACGATCTCGGATGACTACGATAAAAGTCAATGAATATGAAGTCACTGCAAATTCTGTAGGTTCTAACGCTGGTACTGGAATTCCACGTTTCTCGAGTAACGTGATATAAACTAATGATTAAGTGTCTTTATTGGCTATCTCTCTTCACTACAGCATGGACTGATATAAGCATAGCTTTTAGATAAAGTCTACTGAGACGACCTGTCAACTCATGATCGATTGAATCTAAAAGTTTTTGCTCTTTGAGACTCTGATTCAACGGGAGAAACATTGCGTTTCATAAGCAACAAAGTAATGTGATAATACCATGTTCCTATCCAACAACCTTTCCTGGTTGTTGGTTACAACAAGTGCAAAAACCTTTCCTGGTTCATTTTCATGAGAGTATAAAATCATTTTCATAGCAACGGAGTCGCACTTGGTTTCGCTTCAAAACAGAGGCTCAGTAGAGCAACCCGCGCGGAAATGGCCTTCTGACAGTCACGTGTCAACGAAGTAATATTTCTTTGTAGGATTTTTACGCTATTTCTTAAGAATTAAACGTATAATGAAAACTTGCCAATACTCTATTTTCTAACAGTGGCTACTAAAACAAATTCGCCATGTTCGCGTGCAGTCTACGTGACATTTACGTGTCAACGGGAGTCGTGGTTCTTTCCTCGAGCAGGGCGTTGTCAATCTTGCTTTTTACTCCAACCGATGCTCTTAGAGAGGCACTGCTAGGTACTTTTGTACAACGTGGTTCATTTGTCAATTTACGTGACAACAATCCGATTGTATTGCGGTTTTCTTGAGAGTTTTTCACGCTTTTTGCCGCATTCCTCTTCTGCATTTTTCTAGAGTATGCTGCACGTACGTCGCTGTTTCTCAAAACGTGAAGGATGAAGATGAACAAACCCTAAAAATGTGTGTATCGTCCAAAAAAAAAAGAAAGTTAAGTTCATACATAAGGATGAGAGAAAAGAAGAAATGAAGGCAAAATTTATAGTCAATGGTTAATCGCAGTACATGGTATCAGGTACCGCCCACCATCTCTACTATTCTATGTTCATGTTAATGCTCTCGATCGCTACATTCCTTGACACTAATGTCAAAGTCTGGAGTAAACCTCGAATGCTTGCGTGGCAAAATAAACAAATAAATGAATAAATGAACGAATGAGTTAATAAAAACGGCTTTTTTAGTCACCGAGCTGAGTACTCTGATAAAAGAATATTTGCTCGCTGTCAGTTAGCCTGAGAAAACAGCTGACATTGTGCAACACCACCACTGGTTTCCCCGCGTAATGACGTTGGAGAAACAAGCGGAGCAATTCCATCCCTATTACGCGTCACTACCCAGATCTGGGTAGTGCTTCTGATTGGTTAAAATCTGCTTCATCCAATAAGAAGCACTTCCCAGATCTGGGTTGTGACACATCATCAGTATGGATGTTCTCCGCCAAACGTTATTTCTTGGGGAAACCAGTGGTGGCGTCGCGAAATCAGGGCACCCAACGTCAATTTTCGGAAAATATCTGTTCGGAAGACGATTTGAGATCTAGAATTTTCGGGACATTNTTTTCTTGAGAGTTTTTCACGCTTTTTGCCGCATTCCTCTTCTGCATTTTTCTAGAGTATGCTGCACGTACGTCGCTGTTTCTCAAAACGTGAAGGATGAAGATGAACAAACCCTAAAAATGTGTGTATCGTCCAAAAAAAAAAGAAAGTTAAGTTCATACATAAGGATGAGAGAAAAGAAGAAATGAAGGCAAAATTTATAGTCAATGGTTAATCGCAGTACATGGTATCAGGTACCGCCCACCATCTCTACTATTCTATGTTCATGTTAATGCTCTCGATCGCTACATTCCTTGACACTAATGTCAAAGTCTGGAGTAAACCTCGAATGCTTGCGTGGCAAAATAAACAAATAAATGAATAAATGAACGAATGAGTTAATAAAAACGGCTTTTTTAGTCACCGAGCTGAGTACTCTGATAAAAGAATATTTGCTCGCTGTCAGTTAGCCTGAGAAAACAGCTGACATTGTGCAACACCACCACTGGTTTCCCCGCGTAATGACGTTGGAGAAACAAGCGGAGCAATTCCATCCCTATTACGCGTCACTACCCAGATCTGGGTAGTGCTTCTGATTGGTTAAAATCTGCTTCATCCAATAAGAAGCACTTCCCAGATCTGGGTTGTGACACATCATCAGTATGGATGTTCTCCGCCAAACGTTATTTCTTGGGGAAACCAGTGGTGGCGTCGCGAAATCAGGGCACCCAACGTCAATTTTCGGAAAATATCTGTTCGGAAGACGATTTGAGATCTAGAATTTTCGGGACATTTTTTGTAAAATTTCTTGCTTGCCCGCCTCTCCTTGGATTTTCTAACATCTAAAAAGTGGCATAATTGCCCATTTTTAACGGATTATTACCCTGAAAAGGTCACCTAAGATTTTCGGGAGCCTTTTTTCTTGTTGAAATTTTCGAAAAGGTAAGTTTTGATCCCTATAATTTTCGGATCACTAGACTTTCAGCTAGGAAAGCCGAACAGATGAAAAATTTTTAGGGGATAAAAATATGCCTATATCTACCGTTTAAATACTAAAATACGTTCAACAATGCTATGAACTGCGAAATGTCGGCTGTTCCCTCAAACTACTCAAAAAGTTAACATGTTGGATTTCCTAGTACTATACCTGCAATGAGTTGAAAATGGTAAAGATGTACTGAAATACGAGTCCAGCATCTGTGACACTTAAGACACCAAACACCCAGGTCAGTCCAAAAAGAGGAAACAAAACTGCGCATGCTTTAACTCCTTGTCGAGCTCTTTCCAGATGAGATGTTTTGTCGGCTTGCATTCTTAGGATCTCAAGAACCACTCGGGCAAGTAAAACTGAGTTTATCTGCGTAGAAACAATGCAAGAGAATAAGATATCTTTTGATGGCAGAAACCTTGGACCCTGTTTCTTTCTTTCTCTCAGGTCTTGAAAATATAACTACAATAAATAAATAAATAAATAAATAAATAAATAAACGAAAACATAAAATATAATCGATAAATAATCGATCAAAGCTCGGACGTATGAAACATCTCAAGCATATCAAACTAAGTATGACGTCACAGCCTCCCCTCCACCGCAGCGCTTTATCCCAGATGTGTTTATTACCCGCAAATAAATGAATAAATGAAATGCCGTGGATGAGAGGACAATAGACGTGTCCTCTTTACAGTATATATTTACATGTTAACAGTAAGCTCTGACGTCAGCATGCAAGGGCGGCACTGGTAGCCGCTATCATGCAGTCCATTTATGGGCTTACTGTAATCCACCAAGACTATGATATGAAAGGTAGCTAAATATTCTGGTTTTCTTGTTTCTACATGAATCGTTATTAATTTCAGTTTCACGTCTTACATTTTCATGGCAAATATTTGATGATTATATCAATTTTTAATCAGTTACAGATGAGCCTCAGTATTCTGCAAGCAATAATTTTTTTAACTTGTTCTCTTAACAAACTTATTCACTTATGGAACATTTTCACTTTCTTACCCTTACCGTGCAAACTAAGAGAACAGGCGCAACAAACGTCCAGATAAGGTTATTTTTGAAGGAAACCCAACAACTGAAAAAAATAAAGAAAATCAAGGTGTTACTTAGAAAGGATTGCTTGATAAAACTTGACGGTTAAAATTGGAAATGTTGAAGAAAAAGCCTTCGAACATTTTCAATTGTTTGAAAACCAATTGTTTTGGCCTGTAACATGAACGTGCTGATAATAATTCCTCTGAAAAAGGCAGTTTGGGCAAATTTCATAAGTAATTTTGCAATAAATAAATAAATAAATAAATAAATAAATAAATAAATAAATAAAAATGGTAATTAAAAAAAAAACAGTTTCTTGAAACCTCCAATTTTTTCTTGCTCCGTTTTGTTCCGGTAGTATTAAGATCTGGTTTGTTTACTTACAAATGATCATGAACATAGCTTTCTATCCCGCCATCTTGAATGGAAGCAATCACGATCGATAAAACCACAATCAAAAGGGAGACGCCTAAGGTTTGATTGAAAACGAAAAAGAGAAAAATGAAAAGTTAGGCTCAGTTGGGTTAGGTCAGCTACGTCAGTGTAGCACTCTTATGAGAACTGTGGTGTTGAGAAGTGAGAAACTGTACAAATTCCTCTGAATAGCAAGTCTCAATTGCAAGTCCTTGTAAGTATGTAAGGAAAGTAACTAGATAAACCAGGAATCAATTAACCACTCCACAAAATACCATAACATACCATAATGCTCTTTTTTCGTCGCCCCAAAATTTTGCATAGGCATTGTCTTCAGTTTCTCTAGGGAGTTAAAATGGCCCCAAGAGATACTGAAAATAAAGCTTACGCGAAATTTTGGGGTGACAAACAAAGAGCATTATGATGGTATTTTTGGAGTGGTCAATTAACGAAATGCTTTTGATCCCGGAAGGGACTTACAAGTCACGACCTCTTGACTAGATCTACCAACGGGCCATTTTCTGTAGTAGGCTTTTGCTTTAATACTTACCCCAAGCCACTCCATAGAATAAACGCAATCTGATGACCGTATTGAACACTTTGACAACCATCAGATACAGATAAACACCCTCAAATAACATCCAAGCAAATCCCACCAGATAGAAGTAATGAATCATGGCTGCTACAAACACACACAGTTCCTATAAAGAAACGGGATTCACCGTCATCACATTGTCCATAACGGCACGCTTTTTACCACCCCCCATCCCGACCCCACAAAAAAAAAAAGAAAACTATTAAGGAAAAAGATAAAAAACTATTGATGTAATGCAAACAAGCCAAAGATACTAAAGAGAACTAAAGAGCAATCGACCACCGAGCCACAAGTTTTAGGCACTGTCGTGTGTCTGTCAGTAACAGTTCATTAGATCCTATGTAACGTTAGACCCATACCTAGTGTATACCTGTTTCCTATACTAATCAGAGCAGCCGAAAAAATCTATCAAGGACAATTTTTATTTCCCTAAAAGGTGACAGAATAAACTTGACTGCCATGTTTGCGAAATATCATACAGGAGTTGAACCATCGCTAAACGTCAGTGCTATCAGACTCCATTCCTCCCAAATTATCCTTTCAGGGTGGCAAAGGGGTTTCAGTCCGTGACGCGTTATCGAACCCATTTGACCACTCCAGAAATACCGTAACATACCATAATGCTCTTTGTTTGTCACCCCAAAATTTTGCATAAGCGTTGTATTCAGTTTCTCTAGGGACTTAAAATGGCCCCAAGAAAAACTGAAAATAAAGCTTATGCCAAATTTTGGGGTGACAAACAAAGAGCATTATGGTATGTTATGGTATTTTCTTGAGTGGTCAATTAAATCAAACGCGTAAGGCGTGATTTGGCCTAGCAGCGTTATGCGTGATTCACTATTTTTACAACGCGTGACACGTGATTTTCCTTTGAAATTTCTGCGATGGTTGATATCATTTGAAAGTAGAAGAAGACTGAGAGACATACAAAATATATAGTTATGACACCAACTTCTTGCACTTTTTTCTCGTTCCTCGACCTCTGATTTCCTTAGATCACATGACAATAAGATAGGCTCCTGATACTTGTTAATGTCGTTAATATTTTATTTTATTACTCTGTAATGCGTGATAGGCATTTCCCTCCCCTTCCCTCCCCTCCCCCACCATTTGCCACCCTGTTCCTTTAGCGCATTTGCGTAAAATCGAGGCCACGGGATTATGCCATCTAATGAAATTGAGTTATTCAAGGCTCAACTCGTTTACATCCAACGGTCTTTCATTTTTGAGTTTTGTTTTTACAGTGTTTCAATCAATTTATCATCCAGTCGATTTAAATGTTCTTAAAACATAGCCAGTCTTAACGTCTTATTGATGCTGACAGTTTCGATGACTGTCAGCCATCTTTATCAAAACTTGAAAAACATTAAAAGTGTCAGAAGCCTTAAATAGTCTTCTGAAGGTGTTAATTATTGCGATAAACGCGCAAAGTCACTCTGTAGACGCCCCCTCCTCCCCTGGTTGGGGGGTGGAGATCACTTGTGTCCATATGGGAGAAAGCTGATAGGCTCCCTCGTCCCTGTTCCTATTTAAGGTTTGTGACACTTTCAATGTTTTTCAAGTTTTGATAAAGATGGCTGACAGTCATCAAAACTGTCAGTCAAGGCTTCTCATTATTTCTTTATCTTTCAGATTAACCAGGGGCACCCAACGACGGTTTTCTCCTAAATGCATTGAAAACACTTTTCAGACTATCCAGAGTACTTTTAGACCTTTAGAAATACATTCTAATCGGCGCTATAAAATTTATATCTGTTCGGTCATCCTAGGGCAACTTGAGTCTTTTCCAAATTACAAGGGCTTCAGTATTATCTTCCCGCTGGGGAAAATTTGAGATGGGAGAAGAAGAGAGAATTTTTCCGATTTCTCTTTCCATCGCATTTTCGAATCCGAATTTTTTCGGTTTCCTTTTTCTCCGAAAAATAGCTTAATCTGGTGGGTAAAATGCCAAAAATTAAACTTCAGAAAATCGTAGCGAATTTATTAGATAAGCTTCGAAAATTGTACATGAACGGAACGGTCATCTAGAAATTCTCAGTCTGCCCCAAGGTATAGAAAATTCTGGGCAATTTGTGCTGGAACAGATATTTTACAGAAAACAGTCGTTGGGTGCCTCTGATCAACTAACATCTTTAGCTTACCATAACTTCTGTGGCCTCAATTCCAGCAAGAAACGTGATTTGTGCTATCGCTATGGCGACCACAAGGTTAAAACGGATTTGAGTTTGGTCTTCTTTCAAATCCCTGAACGAGGCAAAAAATAATTGAACACCGTTGACAATTGTTATGTTTTTCAAAGCAGGAAAATCCCATGTTAAGGTGCTTCTTAATTTAAAAATCATAAATGAACGTCTGACAAGCTAACCGGCAGAGCCTAACTGCGCTACGAGGGGTTGTGAAGAGGGCGGCTGACTCCCCCTTCCCCTCCATTGTGGTTTTGTTATTGTCATAACTTTGCATTTACTAAGTATTGACTAAAGATTCAATACAAATAGTTCAGAAACAAAGCACGTCTTAATGTGCTATGGTTAAACATTTGATGCTGGAAATTCTGTTTAAAGCGCTCGGTGGACGATAGATGCAGGCGACAATCTTGGTTTCACTCTTCCTCGGCCTCGTTATGCTGGGTGCATTTGAAACCAAGATGCGTGAATTAAAAACGCTTACCTTGACCTTGATTATTCCGGATATCACAAAAACCAAATCTAAATGTCTGAGCTCTTTTATAACGGTATATTATTTGTAACTCACATGAGGACGCAATATGCAACAGCGGTGAGTGCTTCTTCGATAAGCGACAGAGCACACCCAACGTAAGTAATGACTTTCAATGCCACCTTATGATCTGCTGGAACCTGTTTGAAAGATAGTTTAAAAACTGTTTGCAAATACGCCAAATCAAGAAAGACAAATATTGGCAAGGGTCAGGGCCCCTTAATATTTTGCAAAGAAGTACTCTAAATGGCGAAAATTGGCATGCCCTCCTTATTACTCGAGTCACTAAAACTATTAAATGACAATGTGATAAGGGTTCATGGCGCTACGATTGTAGATGCTCCCCTTATTTATTTTAACACATATGGTACAGTAAAAACCCGCGAGTAAGAACCTGCATTTTCCCAATTTAGGGACCGGTCATTATTTATCACCTGAGGGGGGAGGGGGGGGGGGTCGGAGGATTTTGGGGGGGATCACTTGATTTTTAGGAGAACAGAGGGGGGGATCAGTCGTAACTGAGAGCCCAAAAGGGGGGGATCACTGAAAATTTTGGAAGGATTCAGAGGGGGGACCACTCAAATCTGCTTGAACAATGCTTACATAAATGGTATAATTAGCAAAAATTTAGGCTATTTGAGGTTCTTAAATAAGTTCCAGTTATTTTCTGAAGAAAAAATACATTGAATATTTAGAGGCATTCAGTTTATTCTTTATATCAAATCTGCATATCAAATTAAAATTGATGTAAAAATCAATTTAAGAAGAAAAACTGAAGCAGTGACAACATGAATTTGAAATGTAATTTCATCTGTATTGAAATGCCTTATCTCAGCTCCAACAGTTAATTAAACTCTTATGCAATAATATCGTTTAAATAACAGTTTGTAGCTCAACTATAGATGAAATTTTTGAAATTTATGGAAGATATCTACATTTTCACATCCACGTCTCTGGAAATCTGCGATAAGTCAGCGAGAGTATAGCTATAAATCGCAGGTACTACATCTGATCCAGCGCTGGAGTGATAAATCCTGCGCGGTATATATCAAACATGGAAACACAACAACAATAAAGCAATGTATGGAAATTGAGAGAATTTTTCATAGAACCTGTTCCACATTTTAGGCTAAACAGGAGCTTGTGTAGAGTTGGCCTAACTAGCACTTTTTAGCCTAAACGATTCTTAAAATCTCGGTTCTTACTCGCGTGTTGTTATTGTAGTGGGACCTGCGGAAAACAATTAAGTCGCTCAAACCATAGTTAATTGAGTGGAATGGTTATGAACCCCGTCAGACTCCTTTGTTATATGTTTTTGTGGACCTGAAAGTGCACAACGTTCAAAAGAATTCCTATCATTTTGATTGTATTGACCAATAAAAACGTTGCATTAATTTATTCCGTAACAATTTGCCAACAGAAAACAAAGGATTGTGCACTTTCAGGGTGCTTCCAACATAAACTGCAGCACTGTTGTTTTTTATCATTGATGTTTGCCGCTTTTCATAACCAGTCTTCTCTAATAACTATGCTCCAACTAACCTCCTTGTCTGCTCCAACGTGCATAAGAACAGCAAAGTTTGTGAGGTGGTTACAAGTGCATGTGATTTCTGTTTTGGTTCTATTGACCATTGAACATCCTTTGCTTGACCAAGAACCGTTGACATTTGATCTGCAATAATATTGTTCCTGAGTATGACTCTGCTTAATTTTAAGACCTTAAAGGGCAAGGCCAATTAAAGGGCAGCATTTTGTCAACCCTAATCGATAGCGAGATATTTCTTGTCTACTCTACAAAAACTATGAATCAACTCATACTAATTTAATAACCCCTGATGTTGGTAAGTCCTTTTAGTTGGTTACTGAAAAATTCTGTTACACTTACTTGGCAGTAAAATCCCAGAAGACACAACGCGCTTCTAATCCCTTAACAAAGAGATTTAAAGTTTCAGGTAAGAGAATTAACACTAACAAAATTAAGGAAAGGTGAATGACTCGTCGGCGTCGTAAATGTTTTTACACCTGGTATTACCGACAATCAGAGCAGATAAGAAAGTAAGTGCCATAATTTTACAACGTCTTTACAGATTATTTCGTTGCGAGTTCCGCTTTTCTAAGCGACTACCTGAGTTTTCTTTGATTTGAAAGTGTTGCAGGGCAATGAAGAAAAAATATCAAGAAAATCCTAAAACAGCACACGCAATCATAAAATCAATCCTTCCTAAGCTAGAGGAGGTAGTATGTTCATTTTCAAACTAGGCAGTGTTTTTGATCACATAAATGAACTTACAATCAAGGGCCGGACATACCTCTACATAACGGAATATAACTGTTACGTTTTTCTGAAGGATGTCGTCTTGGGGCCTGGGATCTACTGTGCTGCCTATTAAATTATTTAGCTTGAAGTTCGTGATAGTTTTACTGTTAGAAAATAAACAAACAAATAAATAAATAAATAAATAAATATTAAATAAATTTGATTTAATTTAATTTGATTTTAAAGAATTTGTATAGCGCTCAAACTATAAAATATTCAAAAGCGCTTACATTAGGTTACAATTAAAAGCTAAAACGAGGAGTAATCGCAGCTTATGAGAGTGCGTTCGATATGTTTGTTGGACGTACAGGTAGCAGCTGAGGGGGAAGAGTGGATGGTTCTCGTGATAGATACATATGATTATGGCATATTTTAAACGTAAGGATTACGTACAGCGAAACCTCTATTTAAACTGTGTTTCATTGTGAAAAGGTTTTGAAGACTTGTGATTTCGTATAGTTCGTCTCAAGTGCTTGTAATTTGAGGAGACAGTAAACTGACCAGAGTGCGTCGGGCGTGTAAATATATACAACGTGCAATAGATGTTCTGCAGGGCGCAGTTGTTCGAAGGCCTGATTAGAGGGTCTGAATCGGGGGGCCCACTCGTCGGTAGTCGGTTAAAATTTCGATCTTTGTCGGTAGTCTATAAAACTCAGTTAATAAGTAGTAATGCGTGTTAATTATAATATTTGTTATGTATTTTCACTCAGTTTCAAGACTTTGATCCCTATAAAAAGTGTAAAACTTGTAAGAATGCATCATTTAATCGAACTTAGACTTTCTTAACTCTGGTTTGTTTATTCAATATGATCTTTTATTTCACCTTTGTTTTCCGAGAGTACCAATAAAATCACCAAAGCTTTTATTGCAAATGTGAACTTGGTTCCCCTGTTGATTACAGGGCACTATAAAAAGCAATGAAGAGAGGTTAATTGGACACAGAAGGAAACGCCCGCTTTAGCAGTTTGCATTACGTACTAAATTATTTTTGGTGAAAAACTGCAAGGGTGACAGGCTCCACATCTAAACCGGTGAAACCGTGTGGTGATTTTTAACATCTTTGCCATGATTTTCCTTTCTTGTGGGAAATAAATAATGGGTGGTTCTTAAAAAATTTGGCAAAGTTCAGTGTAGTGGTTGGTTTTGTATGAGATTCCGCTTTTCCATTAAAGCCTCTTTTAAAGTAGACACTAAGGGGTGGTATTGTGTCACGAAAGACAACATTTTTTTTTCTTCCTTGCTGTTTTGTTTCAGGAACGCGGACTTCCAGCTTCTGTGAGTTTCATTTATTTCTGATAGCATTTTTTTTTTCAAATTGTGTCGGTAGCCTCTGTCCATCGAGCGTTTTTTTCTAAATTTGAAATACCTTCTTAGTCAAACGTTACTTTAAAGGCTTAAGGCTTCTCCTTTGACAAATCAGTTGGTGACAAGGGGCGAAATGTGTGTGCTGGAAGGTTTCCGTTTGTTGAAAATGTGTCTTTACATAAAGGATAACTTTTTTGTTGAATCTTGTGCCTTCGTATACAACTGTGTCTAAAAACATTGTCTCGGTGAATATCGGTTATGAATTTAATAGTAGGGTAGTGTAAGTTTGCTTTTTCGACGAAAGCTACGATGTCTGGTTTACTTATGTCCCCAGCGAAAAGATGTCATCCATGTAGCGTTTCCACTGGAAGAGTTGGTTTAAAGACGGTTTTACTTAGCCTTAGTGTGTTTCAATATATGCCATGAAAATCTTGGCAAAGGAAACTGCTGTCTTTGTGCCCATCGCGGTACCGTGGGTTTGTAGGTAGAGCTTTCGATTGAACTGAAAAGAATTTTCTTTATGGATTAATCTAAACATTTCTCGCAGGTAATGTGTAGGACTGAATGGTGGGCTGCTTTGTGGAAATTTTCATACGCTCTGCAAACTATTTCGATACCCTCGTTTTGTGGAATATTTGTAAAAATACTTATGACGTCCATCGAAACATGAAATGTTCGTTTTTTTACCTTTTTCTTTTCAATAACTTTTATAAAATCAGTGGTATCTTTGTTTACTTCCTAGAAAGGTAGAAAAAATACAATATGCTCTTCTTTCTGAAAAAGACAATTTCGGTCCATGTCGATAGTCGGTTAATATTTTTCTTGTCGGTAGTCCGTAATTTTTTTCCCGTTTTGTCGGTAGTCAGTAATATTTATCGCTAGTCGGTTAACCCCATTCACACCCTGTGATTAGCGCTAGTCTGCTACACAGCCGTTTTTAGTGTCAAAAACGGCTGTGTAGACGACTAGATTAGCGCTTAACCCGGGTTTCTTTCTTTTGTTAGTCAGGACTAAGATGAAAGCGTTACTGGCAAGTCTTCTTAACTTGTGTTGATATTAAAGACCCTAGACCACATTTTTTGTGGTGAACGCTGGAACACGATGAATTGTGTTTGAACAATGGTTCACTTACACTACAACTCTCACACGTTTCAAGGGAATCATCTCTGAAATCCTTCAGTGGAATGTGTGTGCTCACGTCAATAACTTTTTCAGTAATTTGGTCGAGTGTAGTGTTCAGCTGAGTGTTGATTTCAGTGACTTGAGTGTGGCGCTACTGTAGGCTGGTTTATATAAGTTTTTCCGAATAAATAACATAGAGCTAAAATGTTCGTTTGTCCGGTGCCGAAAATATCACAAGTCATGATGCCTGATGGAGCCGCCGAGCTTCACATCGCGGTTGATTTACTTTGTGGCACAACCGCCGCCGAGTTTCACATCTAGGTAGATTTACTTCGTGGCACAACGGCCGCCAACCTACTACACAACTCGGTAGATTTACTTTAGTGTGGCACAACGGCCGCCGAGCTACACAACTCGATACAGGGGCACCCAACGGGAAATTTTGAGAAAAAGACCTAAAAACAACAACAAAGCGTGAATAAAGTTTTTTGAGACTATTTTAAGCATTTTGGGAGATTGCTGGAAAAAAATTATCTGTTCCTCACTCCCAGCAAGACTGGATGGAAGAGTTCCCAGCCAGCAACCTTTCAACCTGCAACCTGACTTACTGGGAAGTTTCATAGGGCACAATTCAGATCTTGAGTGGTAAGTAACCCATACAAGTAACCCGTAGCAGCTATTCTAGACTTCAAACCCCCTCTGACACCCTGAATTATCTTTTTCCTAGCAACACTTTCCTTCCAAGGACTATTATTTCTTTCACATCTCCCAGCCAGCAAAAATGTGCCTGAAGAACAGATATTTTGAGGAACAGATCCATTGGGTGCCCCTGTCGATAGATTTACTTTGTGGCACAACGGTCGCCGAGCTAAACAACCCAGTTTCATTGATGCATGCACCAGCAGTCGCACACATTTTCAAAAGACAACTTTGGAAGATTTCATAAACACAGGTCGATAGTAGACCTTCAGGAAACTCTTGAAATATGTACGCGTTACAAAGACAAAGACAAATAGCAGACCTCAGAAAACGTTTGAATAATGAACGCCGAGGACACTCGAATCACCACGTGCGTTAGCCCGTCAATGTGAGGCAAAACGTAAGCAATCGCCTCAAAGCGAGGCAAATATGTGTCGACACAAATGCAATCTCGAAGAAAACCATCCTCGGAGACCCAGGGGCAGTTAGTCGGGTCGATAAAATGTTCGTGGTGAAAGTTTACTGTAAGATCGAGACGAGCCCCTGGGCACTTACTCTTACCGAACCAGTTCCAGAAGCGTTTGAATTGCCTGCTTCTGATTGGCCAGAAAAAATTTTTTCTGGCCAATCAGCGAAGAGAAGCTGCCGGGTGACTCTCCTGTTTTCTTACACGACGTAGTTTTCCTCATCGATCGCCATAGTTGCATAGCGCGTTGAACGGGGAAAGTTTCTCGACGAAAGTTTCAGAACAAAATGTTAACAACCCGCAAAATTGCAACCTTTAGCACGGCTACAAGAAACAAGCACTCTGCGATGAATTTTTAGGGCGGATTTTTCCAAGGTATCGTAAATTTTTATTGCTGATACGATACGCGATGCATGACTTTCACTTTCCACACCTTAATTTGCTCACATTGTCTAGTATATAACGCCAAGCTTACATTTTAGATGTCCATGTTCGTTGCACGACTTCTGAAACTTTCTACAGCGTGAAAATTTCCGTTGCACGGGCCACGAACTACGTCGATTAATCGTGGGAATTGCTGGCTTGCTGCAGTGCACGCACCTTCTTGCTTTCGCGCCAAACTCCCTTACCGTACGTATTTTAGATACAACCGTTGTGTTTAGTTCGAAATCGCAGTCCGGTTATGTGCTGAATCCTGACCGTGTTAAGTGAGGTCGATTTTTG